CAGCAAATCTGAAGAGGAAAAGAGTGATCATTCTCAAGTAATGGGCTTTTTGGTCACCTGTCCCACATTCGGCCTGGTCTAATTTGGCTCTTTTTCAGGGATTGGGGTAGTTCTAAAGAACAACCAAAAAAAACATTTTTTCCCCCAAAATGAAATTTGACAACAATCAATTTCATTAATGGGAGACCCTAAAGAAAAGAAAAATCATTGTTGTGTTTTGTTCTACCTCGGGTAGGGGTATCTCAAAATCTGAGGGCCCTTCCTGCTGGACTATAAAGCACGCAGTAGCTTGGTGTCAATTGAACTGCATTTTGACCTGTGCCTTAGCAGGTATTCATCCACACATTTCAGGTTGTTTCAAGTGCTTTACAGTGGCATGTATGTGTACATTTAGTACTGTATGTTAAACATAAGATGTGAAGAAAACTTTTGCATTTAAAAGACGGTAAAAACAAAATGCAAAAGGATGCAAACATGCTGTTAAGATCTGGAAACAAATAGCCAAACAAAAGCATAATGAGGCAAAGAAATAGAGTTGAAGAGGTTATTGGTAAAGGTTGCAGGTAGTCATTTAGTGTTTTGCTATCGTGATGCTCTGCTTGGACTTTTCTGAGGAAACCAGTTTTATTACCTGCGATTTTGGATGAAGAATAAAGGGATCTTTTAGAGGCCTCCTGATATCCCGTTGTGTCTCACATTGTTCAGTAATCTACCGTGCATTAATCTAGATATGAAATGCGTCTAACAGGACGTCCAGTACAGATAAAGACCTGCTCATTGATCACATCAAACAGCGGGTTCTAATCTGTTATTGTCCGGTTACCTGCTGCGTTCCTGTTGTGTCCTAGACTGAAGGGTCATGATGACACATGAAGCAACACATGAGCATTTCAAAATCCATTGTTATTAGCTGAAAGGTGGAGGAGGACTTAACGTCTGCTTGGAGATTAACTCGTCTCACGGAGGAGACAAATCACTGTGCAGGAGACAAGTCATTTTACTGCATAATTAAATCATAAAGACAGGAACAGGATGTACTCGCAGCCAAACTGCTCCGGATAGATAACGCTGACATGGTGTATGTCGGCGGTGTACTTTTATATATATCGATTTTTTTTTATATATTTGCTGACATAAAGGCAGATAGCAATTAATTAAAAAAAGATGCTACTTAGTGACTTTCTGAGCTAATGCTAATAGCTACTGCTAGAGGGAGTGGAGGGTTGGAAATACTTTCATAATCTAGTTTAATCTTCCTGACTTCTCCAACGTTTCTAATCTGTGACCTTTCATTTCTTTTGAGGACATTTTGGAACGAGGGCCGTGTTATTCGAGCCAAGTCTTACATATTTATGTAACAGGGAATCTTCAAGTTTCAAGGCTGTATCGCCATGTGCACAGCAGCTACAGTGTAGATATGGCAACACTGAAGTCACAGTGAAACATATTGGACATAGAACAAATAAAACAGAGACAATAGTGCAATAATCTTATCTCCTGAGGGGAGTAACCCCTGAGGATCCGTCCCCCTGAGGAACAAGTTGACAGAACTCCCGGTTAAATTTAGTGTCTCTCTTTTGTTTTGATAAGCGTTTGGTGTGTCCAGGTCAGCAGATCGAGGCAGCAGCTTCAGACCTCATTGTGTCATAAATATGCCCGTTTCCAGTCACACACACTCCTCTCTCTCCGTGGAAGTGCAGTGACATTGTGTGTCTGCCCCTGTCCTGTGGCGACACATTGTTCCTCAGAAAGCAGAGCGCTGTCAGCAGCGAGGGTCTGGGTATTGTTTCACTGCAGACCCGACGAGGAACTGTGATTTATTGTGTGGACACAAAGTCAAAGCCGAATGCCACGCATACCGAGCCTGCATTCTGCAAAACCTCTGGAGGGAAATACACTCTGTCCATATAAGGGACTGTAGGATGTGGTCACACTTGTGTTGACTTATTTTTGTAGTGGACCCTGAAGCCAGCATCCACAGAAAACAATGGGATTCCTCTGTTGGATCTTTGATTTAGCAGAAAATAATCTCAACGTTTATGATATTTACACGTTTAGTTCAGCAGGATAATCTCCACATATTAACACCACTTTATGATTTCTGAGGTAAGAAGCTAACGTTAGGCTATAAAGGAACTACAGCACGGTCACATGGCTTCACGTCCCCACCGCTAAGCTAAAGGTGGCTAATGTTGGGCTATAGAGGAACTACAGCACGGTCACATGGCTTCACGTCCCCACCGCTAAGCTAAAGGTGGCTAATATTGGGCTATAGAGGAACTACAGCACGGTCACATGACTTCACGTCACCACCGCTAAGCTAAAGGTGGCTAATGTTGGGCTATAGAGGAACTACAGCACGGTCACATGACTTCACGTCACCACCGCTAAGCTAAAGGTGGCTAACGTTAGGCTATAAAGGAACTACAGCACGGTCACATGGCTTCACGTCCCCACCGCTAAGCTAAAGGTGGCTAATGTTGGGCGTGATGACGTTTAGTCGTATAATTTAGACACTATTTGGAAAAATATTGATTATTTGGGGTATTTTATATCTGTATTTTAGCTGCTTCTGCATTGGTGACTATTTGTGTCTCTAGCTGTGACATGTTTCCAAGGTTTATTGATCAAAGAGGATCACATTTAGCTTATTATACTAACATACCTCTACTTAAGTAACACTTTTAATAGAGGAATTTTATTTGAACTGTGTATATTTATAATTGAACCTCGTTTGTACTTCAGTGAAGGATCTAAATACGTCCCGCAGCACTGGTAATGTAGTGTAATGTTAACAGGGACAGTTTTTTTAAGGGTGTGACGCTGGCAGTGTTTTATGAGTTCCTCTGAGCTAACGCCTCGCAGTGGTATCACCTCACATCAGCTGCCGGTCACTCGTCATGTAAACACGACTCGCTGACACCGAGGAACCCAGAGGACTCGTATTTATAGCTCTGCAGAACCCCCTGATACAATCTGCAGAACACATTTAAGGACATTACGGACACTTTCAGTAACACCAGGTCAAAAGTGAGGTCACGCAGTTTAGTGTGAGCTGATGAAAAACAAAATACTGGTTTAAGTTATCCCACAATTTAATTGGTAGCTTGGTTCAGCTTTTGTTTGTCTAGTTAGTGAGAAATAAAAAGGGAGATATCCTTATTATTATTTATTTATTTAAATATTTTGTATTTATTTTATTATTATTTTCTATAATTTAGTTAGAAATTTAATTTAATTTTTTTTTTTTTTTTTTATCTAGTTTCAGAGGAATAAAAAAAAGCAGCCTGACAATTTTATCTATATAGTATTTCTTTTTTGTTGCCTTTCTTTCTTTTGGTTTGACTATAATTGTATCATGATGAAAGCTCTTCCTCTGAGCTCCAGAGTTAACAGATGTCACAACAGGAAGCGCCTCCTTCAGTAAGCACACTAACACTTTTATTTATCTCATTCTCCTTTTATAAACTTTTCCCCACACACGAGAACAACAAATTACACAAATGACTCAGATGAGCCGAGATATCAGAACCTATCGTCCCATCTGCTTCCTGCGTGACGATAATAACAGACCACGCATTCAACAGAGAGAAAGACTTTAAAGAGTGCTCTCCTGCTGATGTTCAGGTGTATATCAGTACGTAGTGTCTCTACTTTAAAGAGTCCTCTCCTGCTGATGTGCAGGTGTATATCAGTATGTAGTGTCTCTACTTTAAAGAGTCCTCTCCTGCTGATGTTCAGGTGTATATCAGTACGTAGTGTCTCTACTTTAAAGAGTCCTCTCCTGCTGATGTTCAGGTGTATATCAGTATGTAGTGTCTCTACTTTAAAGAGTCCTCTCCTGCTGATGTTCAGGTGTATATCAGTATGTAGTGTCTCTACTTTAAAGAGTCCTCTCCTGCTGATGTTCAGCTGTATATCAGTATGTAGAGTCTCTACTTTAAAGAGTCCTCTCCTGCTGATGTTCAGGTGTATATCAGTATAGTGTCTCTACTTTAAAGAGTCCTCTCCTGCTGATGTGCAGGTGTATATCAGTATGTAGTGTCTCTACTTTAAAGAGTCCTCTCCTGCTGATGTTCAGGTGTATATCAGTATGTAGTGTCTCTAGGTACATGGTGTACTTCTACTCCACTACATGTATTTAATACCTTTAGTTACTTCACAGATCTGGATGAATGATGTGAAATATAATCAAGTGTTAAATCAGACTTTAGTTCCACCTGGAGTAAATCCACAAGCTACCCTGCAGTATACAAAGTCATTCAAACTAGCTGCACCTTTACCAGCTTTGAGAACACTTTCATGATCAATCATTATAAAACATATCATATATATTATTCTGAAATGGACCAATCTGCACAATGACTACTTTTACTGTCGCTACTTTCACTATATTTTGATGAGAATACTTTTATACTTTCACTTGAGGAACATTTTGAATGCAGGACTTTTACTGAAACAGAGTATTCCTACACTCTGGTACTTCTACTTTTACTCAAGTACAAGACCTGAGTACTTCTACTTTTACTCAAGTACAGGACCTGAGTACTTCTACTTTTACTCAAGTACAATATCTGAGTACTTCTACCTTTACTCAAGTACAAGATCTGAGTACTTCTACTTTTACTCAAGTACAAGATCTGAGTACTTCTACTTTTACTCAAGTACAGGACCTGAGTACTTCTACTTTTACTCAAGTACAATATCTGAGTACTTCTACTTTTACTCAAGTACAAGATCTGACTAGAGCCTACTTCTACCTATTCCTTGAGTAACATTTTGAAGGCAGGACTTATACTTGTAACAGAGTATTCCTACACTCTGGTTCTTCTACTTTGATCTGAATACTTCTCCCACCTCTGATAACATGTGCACTCTTTGTTTACTGAAGTGATATGTTATGTGTGTACCAAGGGGCGGGGCCTGTTTGCAGGAGGTTCACCCGGCGCAGAGCCCCTCCCCTCGGCTGGGAGTATAAAGCTTCTCCGCTGCAGATCCCCGGCACTCACTAAGCCTCTGACCCAGCCTATAGCCACCTCTCTCCCGGTGCAGCAGCAGCATCTCCCCCTGCAGAGTCGGAGGGACCACCATGTCCTCTTACGCGTCATCGGAGTGCCGCCGCGTGAGCCCCTCGGTTCACGGCAACACATTCGCCACCGCGCACCGGAAAAAAGCCGTGGCGAACATCTTCGATAACGTGAACCAGGACGCGCTCATGAGGCTGTTCCAGAAGACGGGCGACATGAAGGCGGAGGAGCGCGTGCGGAGCATCTTCTCCTACACACAGGACCCCGAGGAGACGAAGCGCGCTCTCATGGCTCTGAAGCAGCGCAAGAAGGACAAGTTCCTGCAGATCGCGGGCATGCTGCGGCACCTGCTGCAGATGCGCTGATCTGACGCTTCCACTGGACCAACTGTGTCATGAATGTTGGAAACTCTTACCCTGATCACCTCTCTTACCCGGGTCACCTGCAGCGAAGGAGGTGCACGCGCAGCCCTGCCGCCTGGAGCGCACCGTGCCGCGCGCAGTTTGCCGCTCCACAGACGCGGCGGAGGAGCGTCTTGCCTTACCGCGTTGGAGCATGACTTCTGGGAATATAAAAATATAAAAGGCATGCATGCTAACTTCCCCTGGGACTTGAACGCATCGCTGTGGATGCTGGGGAGCGCGCGCTGCTGGAGGCGCGTGCAGAAACAGACAGATACCTGCAGCTGCCTCCTGAACACATGCCTTCTCTCTCTCTGAACTCTCATTAGTGGCCACTGATGTGTTTGTGTCACAATGTTTTTGCATTGATAATGTTCCTTTGTTTTGCAATTTTGTAATAAATTATTCCGTTTTGTACAAGAAGTGAACCCTTGTTTGTCCTCTTTACACAACAGGTTGTTACAAAGTATTATTGCTCATTACAGCAGATTGTATTAGGTTGATAACATCCTGGTTTTATTTAGATTACTGGCAGCACAGGCTGGATTCTGGTTATAATGCTAAAACAATATGTTGAATGGTATCCTTTATTACACGAGTATTAAAGAGGCACCAAACCATGAGGATGGTCTGTAGAAAACAACAATAATAACACGATGTTCAGGAGTAATAACACACAAGGACAGGATTGTAAACATGCCACAAAAAAGGTGTAATAATATTCAAATTCTGGCTTAAAAAACACATTTTGATCCATGTGTTCTTTACATCAAACATTATTTGGAGGAGTGTCGCAGTGGTTTGGACGTTTAAGGAACAATGAGGCATCAACATATCAAGATGGACTTCATGAAATACCAAAATAAACCTCTATTTTCAGGAATAGCATGGGAGGAAATAACAGCAGAGGAAGCATGTAGCAAAAAGGTGTAAATAATTCAAAATCTGGAGGAAAAAAAAGTGACCTGTTACCATTGACAAATACATGTTTTGATGGGTTTTTTTAAAACATAAAACACATCTTATACCTCATAGTATTATAAGATGTGGTTTGGACCTCTTCCAAGGGTTAGTGAGGCTTCAAAACACAAATAACAAATGTTCTGGCATATGAACAAAGAAAGGACAGGACTGTAAGAAAAAAGGTGGACTAATCTTCTAATTCTGGCTCAAATGTACCTTGTTTACATAAAGAATGCAGTTTGTTTTCGACGTATAACTCGTCTTAGGTCACAGATGTTTGTTGGTCATTCAGGGAAACCCCTCTCCAAATACAAATAGCAAACAAAAGGAGCGTTGACCTCATTCCTGGGGCGTTACATGGATCCAGAAACATGTCAAGTCATGAAATCTAGGAGTAAAGGTGGAAACTAAAACGGCACATTTCTGCGTGTTTTGTGTTTCGCAGCAGAAGGGAGTATTTATGAGGATGTGGTTAACCTTTGTTGGGTTTCCCTCACAGCATCAGACCAGCGAGAACCAGTTCAGTTCAGATAGGAGGGAGGGAGGGGGGGGGTAGAGAAAGGGAGGAACGGAGTGTGTGTGTGGCCGTCTCACCACACTCTGTGATAACAGCGTCTGAGGATCCTTACTGATTATTAACTCACAAAAGCAACTCCTCTCCATCGATATTACACATCATATCATAACCTGCTTTTATGTAGAATTATTTCTATTTTGTACGGCGTTGGATTTCCTCACATTTCAGTATGTTACACTATGTATAATGTTGCATGCTGGGTAAGGCAAGTTCACTTATAGAATATTACATAAAGGCATTTTTTTTATATGAAATGCATTCAGAAAGAAAAGAGATATCAAATGAAAACATCATTTAAAATACAAGAATAAAGGGATAGTGAAGGGTTACAGCTGTCTGATTTAAATGTAGTATTATTATTATAATTGTGTGTTTGTATACGAATTGTAAAAATGCTTCTTCTTAGTCGCTGCCTTCTGAATGTTTTCAACTCATTCAGTTTTTAGTTTTTAATTAGCAAACACCTGCTTTCTATGAATCGATGTGAGACGACCAATGCACAGAAACACAATGTGTGTGTGTTTATCCTCCAGAAATGGTATCAGATACACACGTCTACATTTAGGAGTAACTACAGGTCATAAAACACCGTATCTGCAGTGAGAGCTGAAAACACCACGACGCTCTTCATCCTAAACATCGTCTGTGCTCACAATGCAGGGTTATATACCATGACACTGTATTGTTAGCTCTGAGTGTGTGTGTGTGTGTGTGTGTGTGTGTGTGTGTGTGTGTGTGTGTGTGTGTGTGTGTGTGTGTGTGTGTGTGTGTGTGTGTGTGTGTGTGTGTGTGTGAGTGTGTTTCAGTGTGTGTGTGTGTGTGTGTGTGTGTGTGTGTGTGTGTGTGTGTGTGTGTGTGTGTGTGTTAATCCGCCCTGTGTTAGTCCCCCTCCCTGCCGGTTGGAACCAGTTCCTGTGTGTTGTGCATGACGCTCCTCACTTCTCAGTCGCCTGGGGAACAGGAAGTGTGAATAGCTGCTGATGACATCACTCAGGGAGATGTCATCTGTGGACCTGCCTCACTCTTTTATCACTCTTTTATTACCTCCTGTGCCTCTGTGTCTCCAGGACTTTGGTGTTGTATTATAGGGATTGTGGTTTATATTATTTTTACATCGTACTATTATTTTCAGCCCTGAAAACGACCTTGTTACAATCCTATGGTTGTGTGTATATGTGAATATATACCAATATACAGTAAATACGCATAGACATAGTATACACATAGCATATATACACTATGTATACACACACGTATACACAGTGGCGAGCCGTGAGTTTTATACCTAGGCCCTCTGACCCCCACCCCTTCCCTCGAAAAAAAGAAAAAAAAATAGTTATTACGTCACAGCGTATACTTCAGCGGAATATCAAAACAACGGCCCAGGGTGCAAAACGCATCAATGACAGCGACCCTCTACCACACAAAACAACACCTGTGAACCCAATGTGTGTTCTTTGACATTGAAAATGATATTGCATTGTGTTTGTTACTTTCGTTACAGTTGTATGTCTTAAGTGTAATTTGGCATGCTTTTATTTTGAAGGCGAGTTCACGCTGTTGACAGGAAGTTGTTGTTGCTATGGAAACAAGAACAGTTTCACAGCGGGCGGAACTCGTCATAAAGTCCGCGATAATAAAACCCACCCATTTAGAGGGAAGATATGATTGGTCAATTGTACTGTCATTTGACATTACTCTCTCGTTCAGTTACTATAGCGGGCCCTCTGTGAATCGCAGAGAGGCCCGCTATAGTAACTGACATTCAAACAGAGACTGAACAGGCAGATTCGAAAGATTTATTTCTTTGGAAATGTTATTTTATTAAATCAAGTTTTTTTTCGGTAAAACTAATGAAAAATATAACAAAAATAATATTAAAAAAATATATATTTAAAAAAAATATATATATTTTTTAATGTTTTTAAATATTATTTTTTTGAATATCTTAGGCCCTCACAGAGGGCCTAGAGGGCCCTGACGGCTCGCCACTGCGTATACATAAATACACACATACTGTACTACATGCATACATATATACAGTACATGTGTACAGCGGCGGACTGGGACTACAAATCAGCCCGGGACACTCGACCGGCCCACCTCGGTACCGCAAGTAATCACCGCTAGTAAATTGTCAACGGGGGGGGGGGTGGGGGTGCTAGTGATTTATGCGTCCGGAGCTGTACAATCTTATATATAATCTCTAATAATATGAAAACTGTTTGGCCATAATATGCCAACAAACTCCTGTATCTGGTCCTTTAACTTCCTGTCGGGCTGTTTTTGGTCTAAACGGAAGCTAAATATGAATCACATTCTTTTGAGGATCATGTCCCCATTAACTCTAAGAGTAAATCATAGACATGTAGTGGTCAGTTGAGTGTCATAATCCAAACAATTTTAAGAGTCTTATTCCAAGAAACGTGGAGCAGCTGGCTGACGGTAACCGCCCCCACTTGTTTAAAAATACCTTTAATATAAACCGTGTAATCAAAGCTCGATCTGGCATTGTGTGATAGACGGGAATATAAACATGTAGTCTCTGGCTCTCCAGTTTACACCTCCTCTGTCAGGAGAGCGGCTGCAGCTCGACTTAGAGCAAGATGAGAAGAGAGAGCAGAGGAGCCTTTTGTTCGTCCTCAGACGGTGACTCGTGCTCAGGCGTGCTGTTTGACGCTGGGATCATCACAGAGTAATCCTGAGCCTCTCTGAGCGCGTTCAGACTGGTTTACACTGGATCCAGCACGGCCACTCCCTGATAACTGCTGCAGATCCACTTTCTGCTGCTCTTCACCTCCTCCTCCTCCTCCTCCTCCTCCTCCTCCTCTCTCTCTCTATCGCTATCTAACCCCCGCTGCAGGCAGTATGAGAGGAACGACATTTAATGTACAAAGCAGCACGACAGACGTTGACTTGTGTGTTCAAACAGAGAGAAATATGTGTTTGTGTGTGTGTGTGTGTATGTGTGTGTGTGTGTGTGTGTGTGTGTGTGTGTGTGTGTGTTTGTGTGTGTGTGTGTGTGTGTGTGTGTGTGTGGTGTGTGTGTGTGTGTGTGTGTGTGTGTGTGTGTGTGTGTGTGTGTGTGTATATCTGGTATTTATCTGTACCTGTAGGTAGATGTGGTTTCCAGATAAAAGTGATCCATTATGAAACACATTATTAAACAACAACGTAGACAACAGACCAATCTCTAAAAACCACTCGTACTAACATTAAATAGTAAATAAACATTCTTTGTTATTATTTAGACTGTTTATATATTTAAATGCAGGTTTTATATTGTAGATTAATGAGCACATTTACGTACGTATTCTTTAATTATAGTATTTATTATTTCTCTTTTTTATCGGACGTTTTACTTGAATTTCTTATTTTTTTTAGAATATTTGTATTTATTTTTTGGCTATTTTTATTTGTTTATGTTTGTATTAAATATCTTTATTTAATTTAAAATGTGTCTTTTTATACATATATATTAAATCAATGTTATCTAATTTTAAATTATACTTTAAATTCTTATATTACAATTTAAATGTAATTTGTTGTTATTACATTTAATTGTATTTTATGTTTTATTGGACATATTTACGTGGATTTGTTAAATATATTTGTATTCTATTTGATATATTATTGCACAATCGTACTTCAGAATTAGAATCAGGTTTATGACCAGGTAGGTCTACACGTACGAGGAATTTGACTTGATGTCGTGGTGCATACAGTACATACAAAATGACATTTAAAAATATAAAAATAATAAAAAATATATTAAATATTCAACCTCTATTCCACACACACACACACACACACACACACACACACACACACACACACACACACACACACACACACACACACACACACACACACACACACACACACACA